GGAGACAAGATTTTAATCTTATGGGTTCTGAATTTTAGAATGATGAATTCAAATATTAATAATTGAGTTCTAAATTTAAATTTATAATTATTTAATGAATTTTTTAGCATAAAATATACTGTTTGAGCAAAAACTATTTGGTTGGGACGAACCCGTAATTGGCCTACGTTCCGCCCTTGGATATTGGGTTCAGTACTTTCAATAGGAATTATAAATTTGTATAAATTAATAGTATATATGAACCCATATTTCTTAAAATATTAATACTAAAACCTTAAATGATAAACCAACAAAGTTTAAATCTTGATACCCGCTCTCTGATTAACCATTAAACAAGTGATTATCCTAACTTAATCTTGGCCCCAAAGTCAATTATGTCGACAAGGATCGTCATGACAGCAAAAGCATGCTGTCATCGTCAAACTCTCATTTCTCTTGGCCAAGTGGCATAATCTCATTGGTTGAACTACATTCCAGACTGTAGCCAGATCGCTTTTGATGGCGTTGGCTCAGACGCTGAGTCCCATTTACTACTCACCGCTCTTTTTAAATTTTGGCCCGCCCTATTAATTGGCTCGCCGAGTGGGGTCTATTTCTGTGGGCCCCATTGCTGAAAGACCAAAAGTCGAAAACTGAAAAAGGATTAATGTGAAAAGGAAAAGGCTAAAGAGAAACTACTGTGAGCTTTACAGCTAGCGCTGGTTGGACCATGATACAATCTGGATAGCCAAGTATTGGAGGCTACTTTCGTAATGGGGTGGCTACATGTATAATTTCACCAACAATTATAAACTATATTATATTTGGTAATTATATTTGTAATAGTTAACTCCCTAATATTAATAGTCCTTAAGGCTCTCCTATTAGAGTTAGCTTATTTTGATATTGTAAATGAAAACTCATTAGTACCTCATTTGTTTGCACTTAATGGAGGTCTGAATCATAATCATTCAGATCTCAGGCATTAAGTGCGTTTGTTTTTAAAGTCTGAATCTTAATTATTTAGATCTTGATCATTAAGTGTGCTTGTTTTTTTTACTTCACAACCACTTAATGGGTCTGAATAGGTCTGTATGATTAAGATCTATAACAGAGACGTAATTTCATTAAGTTGGTATCACATATTTATTATTAACTGCCGCCACCGCCTACCATTATCAACTACCACCATGCCACCACTATCACCGCCATCATCACCACCACCACGCCACCATCATCCTCAATCATAGCCGCCACCATTACCAACCATCACCACTTAGTATCCCCACCACTCCGACCACCATCATTCTCACCCACAAACAACACTCATCCACCTCAACTACCACAACTGACCACCCCATCACCATCAACAATCACAGCTGGTACTGCCCATCTTATAACCTACCACCGCCCACCCACCACCTTCCTCAGTTACAACTATTACCACCACCTGCCATTATTAACTATCACCACCCACCCCCACCATCCTCAATCATAATCTCCACCACTACCAATCACTGCTAGATACTAGCATGAACTACCATCATCAACCAAAACTACCACCAACCACCGCCTCTAGTCGACATTCACCTGTTAGCCATCACCACCAACAACTATCATATTTTAAAAAATTATATATTTTATTGATAGAATATAGATTACTTAGTATTTCATTTGAATTTTATGTTTATTAATTTTCAAATAAAGACAAATTTTATACATTCAGATGTTAAAAATCAAATAGTCTTAATTATTTCTATTCAGATCTTAATACACATTTTAGTATATTCAGATGTGTATTCAGATTTAGATGTCTTAATCTTAATACACATCTTGATATTCAGATGTGTTTTCAGATTCAGACGTCTTAATCTTAAAAAAAATAAATGAGGCCTGAGAGTGTCTAGGATGAATTTCTATGTTGGTTGATTAAGGTAAACTTGCAAGGGGATTGCTTCCCTTGAGGGTTGTTCCTATAGTTTTAGGTCAATGAAATCTTAAATTGATTGGGTATTTGTTTATTTCAAATGTTCTTTCAATTTCCTTAGTTGGTTCTCTACTAAATCTCTATCTTTCTATCATTTTATTTGTGTTCTTATTATTTTGCTTTCGTGTTCGTATCAGACCAACGACTGCCATGTGTAAATTTTAAATTGCAAGATTTTAGTGCTCCGTCAACGACGTCATTTCATGCCGAGTTTTTATGAATTCCTCACCTTTCAAAGAAGTCGAAATGGAAAGGGGTAGGAAAGATCCTGTGTACCTTGTTCAAGTTGCGGATCTCGAGTTGGAGCGTGGACTCAGATGTAACGTCTTCTCTTATCCTTACTTTTGTCCTTCCCCTCATTCTCTTTTTCTTTTGAAGTTTCAAACCGATGTCCGATATTCGCATTGGGCTCGATTATCCAAATTATGCCGGAAAATTTCATATTAGGGGGTAAAATGTTCTTTAATAAAGGTGATTTCATATCTAGGGTTCGAACCTGAAATTTCTGGTTAAGTATGAAAGCCTAGTTATGACTCCACCAGAACCCTTTGTTGATCTCAATTCTGATTCTCTTGTTGTTAACAAAGTAAATTTTTTCTCATTTTAATTTTGCCATTTGGAATTTGAGTTCTTTATTTAGTGACTTGCTAAAAATATATAGATGCCATTACAATCGTCATGCGCAGAAAAAAAAAAAAGAACTTCTTTTGTAAGCAGTTGATTGGACAGATTTTAGCTTCTTGTTGATTTTTGGGTTCCGAAATCTTTAATCATCCGCAAAAATAGAAATTGAAGAATAAATCCATGAAAATGAGGTGGTCCTAACACAAAGAGTTTTGCCAATTGTGGTATATATGGGTATAGTTAATTAATAATGCAATCTTTAGATGAAATGAAAATGACTTGAGAGGAATTTCTAAATTAGTCCCTACACTCCCAAACAACACGTAGAACAGTTGAATTAGGGTTCTTCTTAGTATTAATTTCTTCAATTTTCATTGATTGGATTTGGTGAAAAAGAAAAACATTACTATAACAATCATCTTTTAACTTTTAAAATTAGCTATCACAAATATAAGAAAATACTATTACTAAAGACGGGCATCAAAATTAGCGCAGACAGATGGCTGATAAAAAAAATGTATATAAGTTATCTATAAATTAAAGATGGATTTCATTAATCAATATTTATAAATTTAACAGTGTAATTTTTTTCTATTAAAATCTTTTCGATCTTAATGACATAAATTATGGCAATTCTTAAGTTTGAATGTGTAATGACCTTAAGCATGCATGATAAGAAAACATGGAATCATGACTTATTATAGCATCTTAATTTTTTTATTTAAATAAAGGTTCATAACTACTTTTTTAGCTACCAAACCTTAAAGAGAATTAAGGAAAAGGAAGAAGTTAATCTTTTTGTTGTTGATTTTTATACGCTGTTCGTAGAGGCGGACCCAGAATTTTTACGCGCCGTGATACATTATTCTGCTCAAACAATGTCCCCTAAAGGCTTTTAGTGTTTAGGGTGCCAATTGCTCTAAATTAATCATTTTCAAATATATATATATATATATATATATATATATATATAGAATTTCATCAGAAGTTTAAGGTGTTCGGTGACCCCTCACCCATACACATGGGTCCGCCTCTGGCTGTTCAGTGTCTATTTAGAACCGGAATAATTCGGATTCACGCCAACCTATTAAAGAGGAAAGTATTTATTAATAATAAAATTTCTATTCCCACGATTCGAACCAGAAACTTCTAACGGAAGAGTTTGATCTTGAAATAAAACTACTCCCTCCATTCATTTTTGGTTGTCCACTTTTGACTTTGCACTCCCTTTAAGAAAATTAATTAATATATATATNTATATATATATATATATATATATATATATATATATATATATATTACAATTTTATTCATACTCTCTCCGTCTTATATTATCTGTCGTGGTTACTAAAATAGTTGTCACAAATTATTTGTCACTTTAAAAGTTAAAGACAAAATTAATTATCTTTTTTCTTTTTTACCCTTAGTAATAATTATCCTTGAAGACTACAAATGCCTCAATTATGAATAACTTTGTTCAAATACCAATGAAGAAAGATTAAATATTAAGACATGAATAAGGATAAAGTAGTCAAAATTTCATCCTAATTAATTTTTCTTAAGGGGCGTGTACACAAGAATCATGACAGATAATATGAGAAAGGGAAAATAATAATGATAGCATTTTCAAAAATCTTATGAAATGATTTGGGAAATGAGTAGTTAATGATAGTGGTAAAATATGAGAAAAAGATTGTGTTTCTCTTAATTTAATATAGTAAATAAATAAAAATAAAAATATATTTTTAATATAGTAAATAAGTAAAAGTGAACGGTGAAAGTAAATAATAATAAAAATAACTAATAAGAGGGACGTCGAGGTATTATTATGTGTATAACATGACACTTCACCTGTCTTACTATTCGGCTTTAAATATTTCATGAAATTACGCGCCGACTCCAACTTCTCTTTCCTTTATCTGTTGTCTTGTTTCTTCTGTTCACAACAAAGAATTACTACTATATGGTTTTGCATGCACAGAGAAAGAACAGAGATTTAATAGTATGTTTGGTCAAACTTTTAAAGTCTTCCTTATTTTGAGAAGTATTTTTTTAATAGTGCTTTTTAAAAAAATACTTTTGACGAGAATTAATTTGTGTTTGGTTAATTAATTTAAAAAGCACGTTTGAGCAATAATTAGTGTTTGGCCAAGCTTTTGAAAACTGATTCTAAATGTATTTTTCTCAAAAGTGCTTCCGGAGAGAAGCTATATTTTTCTGCTTCTAAAAAAATTGCTTCTGCTTTTCGTCAAGAACACATTTTTTCCTTCTAAAAGTTTGATCAAATACCTCAATTTTTTGCCAAAATTACTTTTGACCAACAAAAATACTTTTGACCCAAAAAAGAGTTTGACCAAACACGCTATAAGTATTGGACAACAACAGAAAAATTAAAAAAAAGCATCACTGTTCCAAGTCATATAAACGACACGAGAATTGGACTTATGCGTTGACAAGCTTCTCTTACACGGCAGGGTAGACTTTTCTCTCCTCCCACAAAAGAAAAAGAAGAAGAAAAACGAAGAAAATGAACAAGGGTATCTACATAAATTTCTTAACCCAATTTCTTGCTAGGTTTGTATATCTCATTCCTTTGACTCATTTCTCTAATTCCCATCTTTGGTTTTTTAATATAATTACTTTATGAGCAAAGTATATGAAATGGGTATATGTATTTGTTTTGCTGCTGTTAAGCTGTTTTAACTGTGGAAAAAAGGTGTGTCTTGTTAATGAAGCCATTATTATGTGGCTTGGTGAGTTTCAGTTTTTATGATCTGGTTACTGGTCTTTAATAGAGTGGACTTCCATTGAATTTTGTGGTTATATGTGTGTGTGCGCGCGTGTTTAGCTCTACTAGCAATTTTGATCCTTGTAGATTACTAAGCTTGAATTTTCCTTCGACGAGCTCCACAATTAGCTGCAATTGATATTTTTTTTTTGTGGGTTTAATTAAGAGTTTATAATACTCAGCATATATCATTCTTTGGTCTTGTTGAAAGTTGGTTTTATATATTCTTTCTTCTTGAGTGCGAAGAAAAGGTACTACTAATAGAGTAGCATCTGCTGGTATAAATGTGAGCCATAAACCATCTAAACTGTGGTAGTACTATATATTAAGCCTTGCTTTTCTTTTTTAGTCTCCTTTTCAATTTTATTAATTACCCGGTATCCTTGACTAATCAGGACCTTCACTTAACCAAAATGATCTATGGTGTTGTATATTATTGTTTTAGCACGTTATTAACAAGAGACATCTCTTTATCCACTTCGAAAAAATTGAGCAGCTGATATTTTTAGGACAATTTATTTGACAAATTGATGTTTACATAGGCTTTTCTTAAATCCATCATCTTTCTGGTTAAAATCTTAGAAAATGACTTCAGTTTATGGGTGCGATTGATTGTAAGAATTGACATGTTATTGGTTCATATTTATCAGATAAAATAACAGGAAGTTATGTTCAAACTTGCAGGATGTACTCGATGAATTTACATATTTTTCATTTTTTGTGTAGTCCTTGTCTCTGCTGTCCCTTTTAGCTAAAGAGTGACCGTGTTGGTAATTACTACTATGTAGTTCCTCTGCACTCTCAAGAATCTCTTACTTGCTACTATTTGTGCCTACGGTAACATCTTGAAGACAGGCTTATTTGTGTTTACAACTACAGCATTAGGCATAGATGGAACATTAAACCTGAAACTATGCGTATTGCCTATAAGGAAAAAGAGAAAATAAGAGAACCTTCTTCTCCTTGATATATTTGGGTTAAACGAGGTGTCTGACTTTTTTCTGTTTCATGAGAATGAGAGTTTTTTCTGGATGCATAATGGCTAGCCTCTATTCTGTTTTTACCTATTTATTGAATTCAAAATGTTCCCTCGAGCTTTTTGCTGCTATATGCTACCATTTAATTCTCTGGATACTTGCAAGATCCATCCCTCCACTTTAATGAAATATTAGCTAATCGGTCCAAGTTATGGACTGTGTATTAGTCTGGTATTCTTGTTTTTATAGAAATTACTGAGTTCCTCTATCACTTTTTAGATGTATCTTCCAATCCCAGAAAAGGAAATTTGAAATATGAATCAACAATTTGAAAAATTGAATTACTGCTAGTCTTCTGAGTTTATTTTGAACACTAACATAATCATAATATCTATAACTTATATTTGCTAAGAAAAAAGAGTAGCAAAAATAAGAATGATCCAAGTCATATCATTTGTCTGATATTGTATCACAGTAACAATTCAAGTAGTTTCAGCTATGAGTGTTTACATTATGTGTCAGATCTCTGATTCTCTACCACGTCTTGCAGTTTTGGTTGCTGCTAAACAGGAGTGGTATGAGTAGTCAAATGAACACTAAAGTTCGGTTGGTTAGATGTCCCAAATGCCAATTAGTTCTTCCGGAGTTAGCAGAGGTTCCTGTCTACAAGTGTGGGGGATGTGGCACAATTCTCCAAGGTAATTTTTCTTTCCATGTATGTTTACAATTTTATTTGTTAATCGCAGTTCGGTAAGCTCCTGTTATGTGCTGGGTCCAGGAAAGAGTTAGACCATATTGGGTCTATTTGGTCAACCTTAGCTTGCATTTTTTTACCAAAATTGCTTCCACGGCTTGAGCCTACATGGCAACAACTTTTACACTGTCCAAGGTTATCATTCTATGTGATATATATGGCGTCAGGAAAAGATCTAGTGCGCATATTCGCGCATCTCTTCTTTTCTTTTTCATTTATTTATTATTTTAGGGAGGGTGTGTTAGGTTTGCGTTAGGCTTGTTAAAGGAAGTGGATTAAGCTCTTATTCTTACAGATTTACTTTCCAATTTTGTGCTAAAAATATAGGAATGAAAACAATTCCTTGGTGATGGAGATCCTTTGCATTTGAGCGTAGAGATTTATGGGTGATCCAGTACGTCAATAGAATTAAATAACTAAGTTTTACATGAGTGATTAATTCTCAAAAAAGATGAGTGATTATGGTTTAAGTTGAAATGACTTTCTCACAAATTTTATCTTGGATGCAGCTAAGAACAGGAAAAGAGCTCCAATAAAGAACGGACTTGATCAGAAAGAAATAAGCAGCGCAAGTGAAGAAGCTTCTCCTCCTTCGAATGGAGATGCTTCACTGAACGAGTCCGATCAAGGGGGTGCTGAAGACTGTAACAAGGATCTACCTCGACAGATTAATTCCCCCAATGAGCTTCCACACTCTTCTGGGCTTAGCTGTCTTGAGAATGAAGATTCTTTATCCAAATCTGAAGAACATAAAAGAGATGAACACAGTTGTGCTTTGGACGAAAAGACAGAACGATATGAACACCAAAAAGAGTTCTCAGGAGGAGAAAACTTCTCCAATAGACTTTCTAGCTCAGGTCAACTTACTTGTGATGAATTGGGAAGTCCGATCGTTGAAGCCAAAGAAGATGCAGAGTGTTCAGCCATTGAAGAGAGAGAGCAACTGGAGCTGGATAAAGACACTGGATGTCCAGCCCCTGAAACCAAACAAGATGCCGAAGGTTTAGCCCTTGAAGCGATGGAACAACTGGAATTGGATGAAGACAACTTCCTTGTGGATCACTGCACTGTAAATGATAAAAATGAAAGTGGAGTTAACCAAAGGAGGCTTAACTCCATGGGTTCTACTTATTTTGAATGTATCAACCACAGAGATGAGTTAGCCCGTGATGGCATTGAGAAGCAGTTATCTGTATGCTCTGACATGTACCAAAGTCTTTTGAATGAAAGCATCATAACAGACACTTTGATGTCTACTGATCATGAGCAGTTAGAGCAATTTCAAAAAGAGATTCCCTCAGGTTTTGACCGCATAAGCTCTATGGATACGTTAGAAAATTCTGAGCCTCCTGTTAATCTCAGAAATATGATCAAATCTCCAACACACAGAAGTTACTATGCTTACGATGGCAGTGCATCTTCATGTGATGGGGATGATCATTTACCTAATCAGTTCCATCAGCAACCTAAAAGAAAGTTTAGCTCTAGCGAGTTTCATTTGGATGATAGATGCCGAGAAAACAACACAATGAGCAGCGAGTCAAAGATAGTACAGAATGCGATGAACTTGTCCACAGCATTACCAGGAAGGAGACATCACGCTACAGAAGGGAGCAACTGGAGTCCTGACAAATGGCCTCCATCTAGGAAACATGGTCAGGCCTCCGGAAGTAGGATGAGATTGGACAAGGATGAACAAACCATAGCATTTTCGTTTATTCCAACCGGTTCTCACACAGGACATAACCTTGGAAACCCTTCAAATTATCAGAATAATATGGCCCACAATTCTAGTCTTCATCCATCCAGAATTCCCTCAAATTCAGAACCAGACAAAATAGAATTGTTGAGAATGGTTTATGAACTTGAAGATCAATTGCGCCAGACACGCATTACTCAAAGTATGGCCAACAGACGGTTTTCTGCAGAGGTAATGAGCGCTGAAAAGTATACCCCCTTATACTATGATCAGTTTTCGGCAGATGGTGAAGTAAGTGCTGATTTGAACTATTCGAGATATCCTGTAAGATGCAGTCATGGAAAAGGCTGGCTGCAACAACGTAAAAGCTCCAGAATACCTTTTTCTGCAGAGGCTGCACATTACAGGCACCAAGCTGATTACCTGTGTTTACACTGCTCCCCTCAGGTCCGGCATAGCTCAGAACAGTTGCATCCTTCAGTTTGCTATAACAAAGGTTGTCGGGTTGCCTATTCCAGCTGTAACTGTTGCAATCACCTCCAGTCTACTTCTTCAAGTCCTCAGCATTACTCAAGCTCTGAGTATTCCCGATGGGACCATGAGACAAAATCTGATGATAGGAGGTACAAAGATCATGAGATGAAGAAACTATACCTGCGAGAAAAATACTCAAAGATGCGTCATCTCCGACCAGTAGCTGGTGGAGCGCCAATAATTGCTTGTTACTATTGCAGCGAACTCCTACAGCTGCCTGCGGACTTTCTTTTTTCCAAAAGGAGATGCCATCAGCTTAGATGCAATTCTTGTAGAAAGGTTTTGAAGTTTTCTCTCCAAAACCAAACACATGTAGTCCCATTCTATGCAGAGGCTTTAGCTCCTCCACCAAGTGAGGTTGATGTCAACACTGATGCTGTTGATCGACAGAATCTGGCATCCGCATATCATTTTAATTCTTGTCCGCATACTGATCCGATATCGTGTTCTGATGATTTGGGACCGTCTTTCTGCAGAAGTTGCTCTACTGAAGGGGAGTCTTCATTACCTCCAATTCAACCTCTTGTAAGGAAATCTTTCAACAGAGAGATATCCTCTAGCAGTTCAGGTAGAAAAATGAAATCTGTTTTGAGGGAACCTCACAGGGAATCACCAGGGCGTTCGGCTAAGATGTCTAAGCGGGGAAAAGGAACTTCAGAAATTGAGGAAGTTCAACCATCTGGAGGCTCTCCCCTTCACCGGCTAATGGGTTATTCTTCGCCAAGTGAGGTCATACATTGGTGACTGGCTCAACTTTCAGGAAATGAACCAAGATTCAAAAAGAAAGATGCAGGTCATTAGGCAACAAAGTGCAAAAGATCCAGCAACTTTTATTAGATACTTAAATGTGAAGGGGTTTACTTGGAACAGGTTTCTTGGTGGTAAAGATATACCTACAGAAGATGTTGAAACACAAACAATATTCCATTTAGGCTCATCCGTGTGAATATCCTGAGCAAGGAGATTATATCATTTTCTTATAGTTTTTTTATTTTTTCACTTTCCACACTATGTACAGGTGAACCAAAGTGGCAGCTTGTTGGTTATATAGCAATTTGAGGTGTTCATGGGTACAAGAGTCTGGTACTTTTTGATTTCCAGTTATTTGTGTGATGATAATGAATATGTATTTAAATAAAGGACATATTCCTGAGTTTTTTTTTTTCTTTAGTTCTTTTTATCTTTAAGATTGCTTTCTTTTCCACTCCTCACCTTATTCTTTTGTAACTACAAAATGAGCTCGCAAAGACTTGCTGGTTTGACGCTTTCATCCTCTCTTTCAGCACGCAAAGACTTGCTGTTTGAATGTGAATTGCAGTAGGTTGCAGTTTGTCTCGTTTATAATTAATGATGGATCGCAGTCAGGTTTGGTGGTTCATAGTTAGGACTGCCTGCCTAATTGGAATTGGATTTAGGACCAAATGGTTAAAAAATCATGGAAAACTCATAATATGCCATTTCTGGGGCTTTTTTCACTTTTGGCCCGCGCCAGAAACTATTTACGTTCGGTAGCCGAAGAAGTGTATAAAATTTGTATAATTTTTGGAAATAACATACGGCGTGCGTATATGTGTGAGATTCTTGAGCTTGTCAAATCATACGAGATGAGTACTTTCATTACCAAATTGGGTCATCCTTATGTCTTAGTTCCAAAATCTTGTTGATGTTTGATATAAGTAGTTGCAGAACACCTTTGTCCTCTGTCGACCTGAACCATGATTACATAATACTCGACCGATGGCTAGAAAGCCTAGATATTACGCAGTTAGACTACATTTCTCTTGTGAAACCAATGTTAAGTGAACTAAAAATATAGTCTGATCTTATATTCCCGTGGCATGTCAAATTTGTTAGTTTGCCTCTGTGTAATTCTAGAAAAAATTGAATATTTAGCACTAGCTCCATTTCTGTATGTGACACACTTTAATTTTTCAAGTTCCAATATGTTCATATTTTTAGGATATCTGACTTCCTCATTGAAAATGGACCCTTGTGTTTGTGATTTAACACGATGATCGTTTTTCGGAAGTAAGATATAGAGATTCACACAACTAGGAAATTAAAATGCAAGGGATTGATGAAAGTTTGAAATTGTTTCCAAAGATTGGCAAATTCTTAGAAATTGTGGTAAAATAGACAATCTTTGCCTAGAAAGCAGCAAGTGGCGTGGCTTAAAATGAGGGCAATGTAGCATATGTGGAATTGAGTCATCAAGCTCCATTGGTCTAATGTTTTCAAACAGGTAGTTCTGAAATTCTCTTTCAATCTGTTTTTGGAGTTCTTGAAATTTCTAATATCAATATTGGTATTGATTAAGGGCATGTTTTATAGAGAGGTAGTTATACCGGCCATGTTATATAAGGCTGAGTGTTGGCCATTCAAGAATTTCCATATTCAGAAGATGAAAGTAGCAGAGATGGATGTGTGGGCATACTAGGCTGGATAAGATTAAGAATAAAGATATTCGGGAGAAGGTGGGCATGGCTCCCATAGAAGACAAACACGCGGGAAGCGAAGCTTAAATGGTTCGGGCACGTGCGGAGGAGAAGCCAAGATGCCCTGGTTAGGAGGTGACGGTTGGCTTTGACAGGTAAGAGAAGAGGTAGAGGGGCGACCTAAGAAGTATTGGGGTGAGGTGATCAGGCAGGACATGGTGTGACATCAGATTTCCGAGGATATGGCTCTAGATAGGAAGGAGTGGAGGTCGAACATTAGGGTTGATGGTTAGGAGGGAGTCGAGCGTTTTTCTTCCTTCGTATCGGGGGTGGGGCTAGCCTGTTAGGGTGTTGTCGTTGATTATTAGTGGTTTAAGTTTGTGTCCACACTATTTTTCCTTTTTTTTTTCATAATACGGTGGCTCTATTACTGGTTGATGATATTGCTATCTTTTTGATTTTGTTTGTTGGCACAGATTCTATTGTCTATTTTTGTCTTCTTGAGCTGAGCGTCTCTCAGAAACAGCTTTTCTACCCCTCCGGGTAGGGGTAAGGTCTGCGTACATTCTACCCTTCCCAGACCCTACTTGTGGGATTCTTCTGGTTTTTTTTTGTTTTTTTTGTTTTTGTTTTGTTTTGTGTGTGTGTGTGTATATATATATATATTTCGGCTATTATTTTGAGAGCGGCTATACAGTGTCATTTTTATCTTTTTTTTTTCTTTTTCTGAGCCCGGTGCACTAAGCTCCCACTATGCGCGGAGTCCGCGGAAGGGCCGGACACGAGGGTCTATTGTACACAGCCTTACCCTGAATTTTTGCAAGAGGCTGTTTCCACTGCTTGAACCCGTGACCTCCTGATTACATGGCAATAACTTTACCAGTTACGTCATGACTCCTCTTCCATAACCTGCCATTATAATAAAAAATATTTTTATAAAGAACAAACAACCTTCTAATCTACATTCGCATCATGTTGAGGTACTTCCATCAAAAACCATGGAAGTTAACCGAATGGTAATGCAAGGATATCTGAATATGAAATGTCCTTGTTGCAAAGAAACCGAAGGGACTTAATATAGAAGTGACAACCGTTCACTGTCCGTTGAAAAGGTTTAAATGTTTAGAGTTGATCAGTAACAGTAGTGTACCAAGTAAAAGGCTTCTTTCATCCCCAAATAGAGGGTATATGTCAACCAGCAGTTTACACGATGCTATTAAGATAGATTGGCAGTAACTAAAACTTACTTCTCTTCCCACAAATATGGGATCCACATCAACCAACATGATACATCAGGAAATAATAGATACAAAAAATGATTTTGTCCTCTATTGTGTAAAGTTGGTGTCAAAGTTTGGTATTATATACAGTATACTATAAAATCTCAGGACGTGCAATTATCATTGGTATATGTTCCTTTGTCTTCGATCAGACACAAGCTTTATCCTCTGATCTCGGTACATGTTCATATTTGGAGCTAACAATCTGGTGTATCGGTCAAAATAGAGAAGTTGCTTCAACAGAAGTGCAAACTCACGAGGAAATTTCAATCCGTAAGATTCACTAACTCTAACCTGCAAATATTGAAGAGAAAGGATCAGAAAATAAGATTTACAAAGACTAGGTGGGAAATAACAGCAAAAAAGTTTCTAGAATAAGAAATGAAACTCTTTTTCATTTCACATCCGATCAACTTAGTATTAGGACATTCTTGAGTACCAGAGAAAGAAGAAGAATAGGAGGGTATTGATAGTTCTAGACATAAGGGAGTTCCATGATTTTTATTAATCACGCACACACAGAAAAGTGATAGGGTTTCTGATTTTAGTTATGTCATAATTTTGAAGCACAATGCCACAACTATAGAAACGAATGTGTATAGTTTAATACTAGGGCTAAAATTGCTTTACCACGTCCACAAATAGAGCATTCATCTGCCTCTCATCAAATACTACATTGGCAGCGACAGCAGTTGCATTTGTATTTGTGTCCCTTGCAGCAGCAACAATGATTTCTGTATCCAAATCCTGTGTAGAAATAACAATATGGCTCAGAAAATTAAGCTCAGTCCAAAGAAATCAAGATTTTGTAGCGTAACATCCAAGACTAATAACTTCTATTTCCCAGAAGAGCTTCCTCTCTCTTATCTTTTTACTTGTCAAGGATTTCTAACAAAGAGAGTTCTATAACAAGACATCCATCCTATCCGAACCCAAGGACAAGTATACACAGGAACCTTAAGAGCAGACAAGTCAAACAGCAGTATCTACAACTTTCATCAGAATCTACAGAATTTATACTGGATATCATATTTTACCTGAATTGACAAAAATATTTTCTCCAAGTCGCTCGCAAAAGCCTTTGAATCCACATCCTTTCCAGTAGCACCCATGTCAATTAGAGCAGATGCCATCGACTCATAATCTTCAATTGCTATAGATTGCAGAAATACTTCCATAGCAGCCCATGTCTTTGGAGATATACGACCAACGATTCCTGCATTGAAAATCCTTAATTATTTTATATTTCCATTTGATTGGAAAAGATGTTAATAGGGAAGTTCTAACTCAGTTGGAATGCCCATTTTTCAATATTTAGCTTAAATTAGCATCCCACAACCAGACCATAGGAAAAACTGAATGTAGAGTCAGCACAAGATCAAGTGGTTAAATAAATCAAACTAGGTGGTAATAACATTCTCATTGGAAAACTAGAGCTAAATAACCTATTAAAGCTTGATCAGAAAAGAGACACAACGCAAGTTTTCTGACTCCTTAATTAAGAAAAAGAACACACGACAACCAGTCAGCAGTCTCAATCAGCAAATGAGTCAGAAATTGCTTTGCTGTCCAAGTTGATAAACTATTTGCAGCAAAAGTTGGTGCTCCTAAGACTGCATTTCATTTATAGAGATATAAGCTTTTACAAAACATAACGTAGATAACTAATATAGTAAGAACTTTGTGCAAAAATGGGTGTCTTGCTACATGACAATTTAAACAATTATCCACTTAACTAAGAAAAATATCCACTAGGCCATAAGTTCTATTTCTAGTGCATTTTCCTTCTTGTTATCTGACAACTATTCTCTTGCACTTTCTTTCTTTTAAATGATTCTCACGATGGCCTTGGGCTCAGATAAAAAAGAAAGAATTATATATACTAGGAAGAAACACATAAAATTATAAAGCAGCTGACAACTTTTGCCAAACCTAGTAGCCAAAAATGCCCAAAAGAAGGAAGGAAATAGACAAGATGTGTGGGTACCGAAGTCAAGGAACCCAATACGCCCATCATGTAGTTGCCACAAGTTGCCAGCATGTACATCTGCGTGGAAGGATTCACAGGCGAGCAGACTTCCGAACCTGCATATGGACCAATGAAATCGAACTCTGCTGGTCAGAGTAAACTGAACAAAAAAGCCAAACAGACTAAAACAAGAAAAGAAGTCTTACCAAACATTTAGGGCAGTAATAAGACTGGTCTCAGGACTAGAAACCAGTGACTTAATGGAGTCTAAGTCCGTCAAAGGAACTCCATATAGCCTCTCCATTGTCAGAACACGCTTAGTACTACATTGAGGGTAGACTTTTGGAGCAGTGGCCTGCTTAGTAAGTCCCATGGCTTCTAAATACCTCCTGAATGACTCAACATTTGCAGCCTCCTTCTTGAAGTCAACTTCTTCTAGCATTGATTCTCGTATGTCTTTGACAATAGCAACCTGTATAAA